GCAGAGGAAGGGTGAAGCTTTTCTTCACTCTTTCTGAGGGGAAGAGGTGTGAGTGAGATGACTGAGAAGTGTTCTGCGAGTAACAAACATCTGATTCCACGTGTCCTTTTTTTTTTCCCCCCCCCTATGTACAATCCACATACTTAAGACACACAAAGGGAACCACATCAAGCCTCGTGGATGTTCATCTTGAAATGTAACGTAGGTCCCGGTCCGTCTTTGCTTGATGTTTGCCCGTGCTTGCATGCAGAGGATCCTGGCTTGCTTTTGGCTTGGGAGACTTTGGTTTAGGCATCACTTTGCTCTGGTCACTACCAAAAGGAGCAAAAGGTGGCTGATCGAGTTAAAAGACATTGGTGCACAGCTGAGTTCCTCCTAGTAGGGTCTCCAGACCGACTCATCCATCCTCCCAGTAGTCGTCATGGTCGTGGGTGAGTTACTGTGGCTCCCGTCCGCGTCCACCCCGTCGTTCTGACTGCCCAGGGTGGGATTCATTAGGTTGTTCCCTGCTGAGGCGCTTGTGCAGGACGAGAGCATCCGGGTGGGCGAGCGCTCGCCGCCCGCCACCATGGAGAACTGGTAGGAGCCCGAGGACGTGCCGTAGTACAAATGGTAGGGAGAGGGGTTGGCCTGGAAGGGTCCACTCTGGTTCTGCGTGGAGCCGGGGTAGGGGGGCGGCAGGTAGGTGTGGTGGAAGCGTGTGGTGGTGGGCATGCTGGTCATGCTGATGCCCCCGATGCCCGTGGCCGAGGGGGTGGCGGTGTAGGGGAAGGCAGCGGACATGGCGCCGGGATAATGCATCCGTGGGTCGGAGAACCTGGTCTCGGTGAGCGCCGGCAGCGTCGGGAAGGAGCGGTCGAACTGCCGGGGGTCAGAGAAGGGGCTCAGGTCTGACGTGCCTGTTGGGGTGGAGGAAGAAAGAGGGTGCTTAGAGCACTGTCCTTGAGAGTTTGTCCTACAGCCCCCCTGCCCTAGGAATTAAAGTCAGAAGGAAAAGCATCTCCTGGATCTGCCAGGGAAGAGAGCTGGGGGACTTAAATAAAAATAAAATTTAAAAAAAAATCCCAAACCCGTTTGTTTAAGTTGTTCCCATTTCCTGTCCTCAGATTTGTTGTTTCCTATCCAAGAAGGGACACGACTAAGCTGAGCTTCTCTAAGGGGTCTATTCATCTCCGGCAGATTAAAAAAACACACCCCGTAAACACAGAAAAAAAATGTTTAGCCATTACATCAGCTGTGTAGTAAATAAATGGATGCAGGCCCCAGACGGCCGGTCCCTGGGATCCTCCGTGGTGTATATACACACACACAGAGACAGGGAGGAAAAGCTGGAGCCCAGACCAGCCTGCTAAGCCTTCTTGTGGGTGGCCTGTTCGTGCTGATACCATCAGGGGATGGAGCTGATAAACACACAGCTGAAAACTCCCAAGCTAGGAGCCACAATATCCCTCTGCTTGAGTTCTCTGTGTATTTTTCTCCTTCCAAGAGGATAAAGAGAGTGAGAAATTCGGGCTTTCTTCTGCTGGGGGAAGGGAGACTCGGGGCAGCACAGCGGGGACGTTACCCAGCTCCATTGGAGCCCCCCACACCTTTTTCTTGGGGGATCTATAAACACAGGGCATCACAGTCAGCTTGGAACTGGAGAGGGACCTTTGCTCAAGTGTTCTTGGATCCCATCCTCCTGTGGGGAGCCCAGGTTAGAGGTGGGAATCCAAACCAGCAGATCCTTTGAGGACCTCAAGGTGTTCCTGTGGTTCCCTCAGCTGTCCCAAGTCCGGTGCCATTCCTTTAAAAGTCCAGAAACCTCCAGCCTTGGTGCATCAAGACAGACAGAAATGAGTTTTGCTCTCCAAAGAGAGAAGAAAAACCTCTGTACTTGAGACCTCCACAGCCCAGGCCAAGCTCCAGCACTGGGTCTGCAGAGGGTACATCCAGAAACACTGTGACTGCACCTTCCTCAGCCTTGTGACACTCCTTGTGAGATGAAAATCTCTTGAAAGAGCAATTCTAACCCAAAGCTGATGCACTGAGCTCAAAGCCCTGCCCAGCTGGAGGTGGCTCTCCATCCTTTCTGATTACTGCCAAGACCCCTATTTTTCCCTTGTTAAAAGCAGGGCCTTTCTGCTTTGGTAGTGGAATCCAGCCCCAGTGACTTTTTTTGGTCATGTCAGCTGGATTTTGAATCACTCAGAGCAAGAGAAGGTGAGGTGAGTATGCTAAACATGCTTGTTGGGCTTGGATATGCATATACATACAAACTCACATTCACAGGGTTGGGTGTCTGCTCTGCATGCACAGGGATGTGTGTTTTATATATATATTTATTACAATGAAGCACTTTTAACTTCTCAGGGCTGGAGTTCCAGGCCCTGAAGCATTTCCCCAGGAAAAAAACACTTCAGTTAATCCCTTCCAGCTACCTGGTGACACGGGCACGCTCCGGAGGGGCAGGTAGGGAGGGGATTTGATCTGAACCCTCTTTCTAATCCCGGGTGAGTCCTTCAGCCACCGGCCGCTGGAAGGAGGAGGGGGGAGGAGGTTCCTCCCTCCCCTGCAGCCCTTTTGCGGGCGATCGGCAGCGCCTGCCTTCCCACGCAGGCTCCACGGAGGGGAAAGGCGGGGGAGCACCTGGTTTGTGAACGTGGCTGTGGCTTTGGTGCGAGATAAGAGAGGAGCAGACCTGAGCTGTCACGAACCACACCGCTCTGCTGGAAAAGCCGACTGTGGAAGCGGCTGCCCGGCCACGGGGCTGTCCTTGCTCCACGCCGTGTGCAGGGGGAGAGTGCTCGGGCTGGCTGGAAAAGCACGACGCTGTGAAAAGTGCTCACAGCTGACCGAGCCGACCTGATTTCACATCCCAGCAGGACGCTCTGCCCCATCCCGAAGCCGGGCTGCTGCAACAGCAGCACCAAAGTACTGTCAGGCACTGGGAGCCGAGGTTTGGAGACCAGCTCTGCAAGAAGCAGCTTGACCAGAGCCTGTAGCTTTAGCAATCCAGCAGCATCACAGCACAAGGTGGGACCACAGGACAAAAATCCTGGCTGAACGTGGACTGGAAAGAAAAAGTGCTATTTTCTGAACAAAACGCCTCTCCTGACATGCAGCAGCTCTGCCACTGCTGGTTTGCCATACACTGCGAAAAAAGCAGCCTCCAAACCCCCCCAGTCCCCAGAAAACCCAGACTGGCGCTTGCTGCCTTCCCAGATGACAATCTCCAGCTCTCAGACCGTGCTCCTTCGTTAGCTTTCACAGGCCCATAAATAATATTCCATAAAATGCAAATCGAAATCAAACCTAAGTGCTCAGGGCACATTTCCCTTTTCCTCTATAACACACTCAAAGGTTTGTGTTTGGTTTTTTTTTCTTTTTAGAGGCTACGTTTTATTGGCCTGAATTTGCACC